GTTTTCTTTATAGAACTGAAATTTCTAAACACTATCTGTAGGAAGTTGAAATTTTATGTCATAGTTGGGAACAGACAAATATAAAAGTTTATTGAAAACATGCCCTGGAACGCATCTAAAAGCTCCAAATCCTTCTCAGAAGGCCTTGCCCAGCACGCTGCCATGAAGAGCAGATTAATCACGGCTGTGGTTGTTTCAGAAGAGGAAAGCATGCTCATGATGACAGGGCACAGTGGGCTTCAGCTGGCCTTCAGGGGCCTTCTGAGTATATACCCGTTGAGGGGTGGAGGGCACTGAATATGAGCCCCCTCAGATATTACACGGCACCTCTAATCCCTACCACACCACTGTGAAGTGGTGGTAAAGCTGTGGTAAAGAAAGCACCCGGCTCAATCTAGCCAGTCCATAGCATCATAATACAGAACAAAGTGTTGATTTTAAGTGATTGAAGCTGGATGTTTTCTTATATAGCAATAGAAAACAAACAGATGAACCTCAAATGGAATTTTTCTCCTGTCACTTAAGATTTGTGAGGACTGGCAAGAGAGCTCAGTGGACTAAGGCCACCAGCACAGGGACTAGGATTTGATCCCCTGGTATCCCATGCTGCACCAGCCCCAACCCTGGGTGTGCTGAGTCAGGTACCAAGTCTGGGCATGGTGGCGCATGCCTGTAATCCCAGCACGGGGGGGGGGGGGTAAAAACAGGATTATCATTATGAGTTTGAGCTGCATAGTGAGACCCTGTACCCAAATATAAAAAAAGAAAAAAAAAAAGATTTGTGAAGTATTGTATAATTTAACATCTCTATTCTTTACTTCCACAACTGTAAAGTAGAACCAAATTAACCCATGATAGAATTGATGGAGGCAATGTAGTTTTTTTTGAGGCAATACAGAGAATTGCTGTAATAATTAAATTTAGAGGTATAAACCATTTAGTATTATATGTGCTTTACAATAAGCAACATTAAGTGGTAGCTATTACTGATAACCACCTAGGCCACACGCGTTACATCTACTTTTTCTGTTTTAACCTCTGAGCAACTCTTGAGAATAAAATACTCAAATGATGAGAAGTTGAGGTTCAGACAGACTAACTAGCTTAGGATTTCTAACCAAGAACGCATGATTGGTGGTTCAAACTGAAGCCCCTCCTACTGGAAAGTGCTTGCTTTATTCTTTTGCTGTATCATAGTGAATCAGCCTCTTACTTTAATTATCTGAATCAAATAACATTAATCATCTGACTGAAAAATAAAATGTTTTTCAAAATAATGAAATCAATTACTCCTAAGATGTAATTTTAGGAAATGTCTATTTAAATGTCTATTTCATGGTGCCTACTAAAGAATAAAACATAAATGAGAGAAACTGAGGCACAGAGAGATGAAATCATATTTTAACCATTTTATATTTTCTAATTTTCTTCCCATTAGTTTAGCTGGAGAAGTTTTATGTCTTCTGGCTCACACCTCAATGACAGTAAAATATCATTTTTAAGTTGAGTTAGGCACTTTTACTGAGTATTTAAAATAATTTAAATATGATAAAGTCCATTTATGAGTATTTATGCATGAATTATCTGGAAATAAGTGCCCTAAAGTAAATTACAAGTTTTAAAAGATCTCCATATTTTCTTTTTATAAATTAAATTGTATCTTGTTTTCTATGTTTTTATTCTCATGAAAAGAAAAGATTATGCATACCCCTATTAAATAGTGGCTGTTAAATGCTAAACTAACTGGACACATTTAATAAGATAAGCCGTAACTTTCATCTTCCGTTTTGAAATGGTCTAGTTTACATAAATATCCAAACATAGACGTAGTAGTCACTTCGTGTCTCCAACGGCGTAACCCGAAGGTGAGACTGTGACCTCTGTCTACCAAATCTGGATGACTCAAAAGTGAAGGCTGTTGTCCTATGTGGGAAAACAGGAAGAAAGAAAAGAAGATTCCATTTCTGTTATTAAAAAAAAAATTAAGACATCTGCCTAGGCAAGTGCAGAGTCTGGGGTTCAATCCCCAGCACCCGGCGCCACATGCTGCGCCAGCCCCGCCCCAGCACGGTGAGCCACTGAGATGAGGCGTGTTGGAGCGTGCCTGTGATCCCAGCGCTGGAGAGGCTGAAAACAGGAGATCACTATGAGTCTAAGCTGTGTGGTGACACACTGTGCCAAATACATAAATAAAAAGTAAAGAATAAAAGAAAATTGGGCTAGATTCAGTACTTGAATGGTAGGCACCCCGGTAGTTCTGACTTGTAAGGGTGCCCTCCCCCCCATTTGGTGTGACGCTGCAGGGGTAGGCGGTGAGGGCGGAGGAAGATATTATTCCAATGAAGGAGAGCGGGCTTCCTCATACCGCTCTCATCCTGATGCAGGTGCTGTGGCAATGTTAGCACAAAGGCAGTGAACACACACATAAACGCGTGCTCCATTCCCATAAATACGTGGTAATTGTTCCAGGAGTGTCGCTAAGTAGCCAAGAGGCAGCCAGCAATTAGTGCTCGCTAAAGACTAACTCATTGCATTAGAGATAACACTGATGTCGGCGAAGGTGCAAGCTCGCCGCCAGGGACACGTTTGTGAGTACGTATCTAAGTCTAAAGAAATAAATGCACAGGCTCTCAGTTAAAAGTAATAGAAAACTATAGATCCAAAACCTTCACAAAATTGCTCTATAAATTCTTAATATGCATTTTTATCCTGTAATTTTTTCCTCTAAGAAATGTATAATATGAAGTTTTCAAGAACAATGTTGCTTCCAGTTATATTTGTGTGTATAACTGCTTTTATAAAAAAAGAGGAAAGCTACATGATTAAAAGCTACATTATACAAAATGTATGTCTGATAAAAGTTGAAATTATTTATATGATTCACATCACAATTTCATTAACTTGTTAGGCTACAATGATAAAAAGATTAATCGGCCTATAACCATGTTCTTAGGACCCACTTTTTCTCCTAAAAACAAATAGAAACCTCAGTTAAATAGATGTGTAGCCATTAACCGCACAGATAGCAGCAATCTGTAACACATAATGCACACCTCAGTGTCATTAACTGCACAACCAAAGGGAAAAGAGCTATCCTTCTATGCAAACAAGAATTTCGGTTTGATGATGAAGGAATACATTGCAGAAAAACATTTCAGGAAGCTGGGCACCACAATTAAAATTCATGATAAGGGAAGAACTGAAAAGAAAAATAATGAAGTGTCTTCCAGCTGAGTTTAAATTACCTCAGTACATCATAAATCCAGTAATGAGTAGTTGAAGCAGGATCACAAGCAGATTCCCAAATAGAACTTTATGTAAATGTAGGATATTCTTTCATTCTTGTTTTTTAAAGTACATATTTGCAGAACATAAAGATTACATTCACTGCAGGAAATTGGTACATGTACCTGAAATGCCTGTGTGTGTGTGTCTGTGTGTGTCTGTGTGTGTGGCCGGCTCAGCCATCCTGGGAGTGGGGCTGGCATGGCATGTGGTGCCGGGATCGAACTGCGGTCTCTGCACACTTGCCCAAGCTTGCCTAAGCAGGCGCTTTAGACTGCTGAACTGTCTCACCAGCCAGTTCCTGAAGCATCTTAGTTCCCTTCCCTTATCCATCTCTTTATCTCTTTCCTATTTTCAAAAGCTCTATCTCTGTTTCCCATAACCTTTTATTTTGCTCTTTGATTTATTTAGGCTTTCAATTTCTCCTATAAGAGAAGCCATGTAACACTGAAGATTGTTATGTCTCATTTATTTGATTTATATTATGGTCTCAAGGTGCATCGATTTTCTTAAAATGACTCAAATGTGTCCTTCTTTACGGCAGAATAGTGCTCCACTGTGTGTGAGTAGGACATTATGTAA